TCTCTCTCTCTCCCTCTCTCTCTCTTTCGACTGCTTAGACTTAGACTTCATCATACACCAGTTTTAAAAATGACGTATGCCAGAGTATTACTCTGAAAGTTCAATACTATAATATGTGTATAATATCTATATTATACATAGCGATACTATACACATATTGGGTCACTGAGTAAAAAAAATCAGACGTGACCCTCTTTACTTTCAAAACGAGAAAACATTTCGTCGCTACCTCAGAATTATATTATTTTTCTAAATTTCTGGCGCTTTTAACTGTTTTTGAATTACTAAAACTATGTGTTTAGAAAGCTTGGCATTATGTGAAACTCAAAAAAATCGCAGAAGTCAAATTTCTCAAAACTGGGCACTGAGCCGACAGAACTTGATAATTCTGAAGTAGCGATGAGTTTACGAGGGTATCATAATATAATAACCAAAAAAAACCAAAACGACAAGAACAAAAACAAAAACAAAAACAACAACGCCCACAACGAGAATAATCACAAAAATAACACAACCTATCTGATTGGGTATATATAATTCACATATGAAGACATCCATATTATGAATAGCATGCCAGTTTGAATGGGTATTACCAGAATACAGAAGTAGACGATAATTTTGTCACAATGACACATACACATCCGAGAGAAACAAACAGTGAACATAAATGATTATTTAATGACTTCATATAGCTTTGTAAAGGTAATTCAAATCTTGGACGATCATAATATCTTACAGTTCATGGCAATTTTTATGTTTATCGTCATTAAAAACATAGACTATATTTCTTTAACATAAACAAACAAACGAAACAAAACAACACACACACACACACACACACACACACACACACACAAGTCACCACGTCTACAAAAACATCAGAATTAATAGTATCTCTAGACATTGTTTTAGAAAACACTTCAAAACATTTTTAAAATTCTAAAAGACGTGTTTTCCGTTTAAAGCAAAATCTGTCCAAAATAAAGGACCAGCAGTGGAATTCAATAGATGTCCTTTCTCAGTTTTCAAAAAGCTTCCTTAGTGTTGTCTCTCACACAGTTTCGACATCAGTCAGGAAGGCCCAAAACAGGAAAGAATATCTTCAAATGTCTATACTATCATCATCCGGTGCCTTGCCGACCGGCGTGGGCGATCATGGACCACTTCACTCTGTCCTGCGTTGCAGCAATGATGTCTCGATTACATTCAAGCAATTTCTGAGTGACAAATTTGTTGCTCTTTCATATGAATGAAATTATTCTTCTCCCTTTTTCTCTCCATCTTTCTCTCTATGACTCTCTCTCTCTTTCTCTCACCTTATTATTTCTTTGTCCCGATCGCACGCTTTCTCTGTTTGTCTCTCTATCTTTCTTTCTCTCTTTCTTTTACACTCTCTTTTTTAATCTTTGTCTAGGTTCCTTTTCGCTCTCCCCCCCTATATCTATCTATCTATCTATCTATCTATCTATCTATCTATCTATCTATCTATCTATCTATCTATCTATCTATCTATCTATCTATCTATTTCTATCATTCTCTGCATCTCTGTCCATCTCTCTATCTCTCAGTAAAATTCTAACAACAATTCGAAAAAATGTTCTCTCAAAACAAAACAAAACAAAACAAAACAAAACTACAAACAAATAAACAAAACGGAAGCAAAGCAAAACCTTTGTCATTATCTGACAGTCTTTTTCTCTGTCCCTGTTCAGTGCAACAAGATTTTCACTACACCGATGGAGATTTTGACAACATAATATAACTCAGAACACAAGCTGTTATTGTTGACTGGTCATGATGCACTTGAAAGACTGTTTTGCTATTGGCCTGTAAAAGTGAACATCTATTTCGTCAATCAAACAAAAGATTACACTAATTTCGAAACAAAAAGTGAATGAGAGGAGAACACTTTTTAAAAAGATTGTCAAACGTTCTCACAACGTTCTCGCGTTTTCATATTCAAGTTCAAAGTGACATAATATTATTTTTTTCTAAAGACGGATATTATTTCCAGGGGATGAAATTGTGAAATGTGTCCATGTCATTGTAATCCTGAATTCGTACAAGGAATAGCTGCAGCAATAGTGGTCTGTCTGCCTTCCTTGTTAACAAAGAGGATAATTCCAGAATCATCCTGCACTACTGGTCTCTTCAAAGTTTCACAGTTCGTATCAGTGCTTCTATTTACTGAATACTGTCACCTCGTACACAAGGCCTGCTTGAACGACGTTTGATAATTAACCGTATCACCTTGACGACCTCCTCGTATTTTCGACGTCAGCCAGTGTCTGTAAAGTTATAGTAACCGCGACCAAGAACGATAACGATATCACACCATGTCACACCTTGTCACACCTTGTCACACCTTGTCACACCTTGTCCTCAGTGTTGGGGTCACTACAGTCGAACATGTCCATCTCTGCTCTCTCACCCCCTCCCCCCCTCCCATCTCTTCAGGTTCCATCCCAGAAGAGTCTGTCTGCTTACAGTCTCCATCATAATCTGGTTGGAGATCCGTCGGACTAGTCCGCACAAGAACGATATGCTATGCATTAAAACCTCACATCAGTTAAGCAAATCAACAATATAATATTATTCAGGTGAAGTGACAGGACAGTCCCTTTAAAATCTCCGGTATACCTTTTATACTAGGCAACGTCAAGTTTGTGTCCCCACCAACGTCCAATACGAGCAGGTGATTTGCGGACGATCTTCTCTGATTTTACGCCTTCATTTCGAACAAACAATGACAACTATCATACTTATCTACCTTTTTCTTTGTACTTTACTCCCTTGTTAAGCCTCTTATCCTCGGCACTCGTAATAACCAATCCTTTTGCAAGTGGCGTAAAACTCATACGGAAATTTAAACCACGTACTTTGGTTTCATTATGATCACTTTTTCCGATGAAATGATGTCGACCCTATAACAGCTCTCATAAAGTGGAAAACAGATGCGTAAGCTCAGAAATGTTGTTCTGAATGAGCATGGGACGCTTTCCACACTATTCTCAAGTGAGGGTTTTCCCGTCTGAGTATACGAATATAACTCCATGCAGCTCTTTCTTCCATTCTGCCTTTGACAGTGTAGTGGCAGCCACTTCGGAAATTGTCATGGCAACCACCTGTACAGCCAGTTTGTCCGGCAGTTGAGGTCTTTGAGTCATCATCGACGGATCACACATTGTTATCTTAGATGGCACGTTGTACGCGCTCTTCTAAGTGTCCTTGGGGCAGAGCTACCACATGATGGCCAAAGATTCTATCATGGTACATGTTTTTCTTTCACGAAGATTGGCGTTGATGGTCTGCAGGTTAGGCTGTTGGGCTGGCAACCAAATGGTCGTGGCTTCGAGCTCTATCAGGAGGCCCGACGTCGTGTCCTCGGGGAAAAAAGGCACTTTACACGAATTTCCCTTACCTCACGAGGGTGGGAATTGGTGCCTATCTATAGATAGCGAAATAAAGAGTCACGTTTGTTATATGTTTAGGCGTTAAGCAGCTGCTTGTACAGCATGCTTTCTGGGAAGCTGATAATATTTCTAAGGATATTAAGGTTCTTTGAGGGAAAGGCAATGCTGCAGATTGTAAAGCGCATAGAGCTTGCTGTTGAGCGAGGATATGTGCTATACAAATGAAGTGTATTGCTATAATTAGTATTTCCGTATCGACAAAAGTTTGGTTATTATTGCCTGCCAGGGCCCACAAAAGTTTAGTGGAATACAGAACCCACACTGAAAGGTGAAGCTAGTTGATAGAATAGACATTCGAAAACAGGAATCGAACTCGCGTCTTTGAGTTCCGCAGCAAGAATTCCAGCCATAGCACGCACCACTAAACCCAGTTCACACGACCTTTTATAGAGCTACGATCCTTGGTACCTTTTCATCTTTTCATACCTCGACCTACGCCAACTTTGGAGAGCACTGACATGTCTCAACAGAGTCAATAATGCGTTGTTAGTCTTTGAGTGACAATATTGTACACATAAGCAGAGTTATTGAACTACGTAATACGAATTCACTGTTTAGAGCAAGGACGATTTTCACGTAGTATGTTTCTCTCACCAGGTGGCGCTGTCAGACATCAAGAACAACTAGCTGTCCTGTAATACAACGCCTACCTCGCTAACGAGTCTCATTCAAGGTTGATTGCTTCCAAAAATATCACATCACGGTCATAATCAATTGCTTCAATATTCACAAGCAGCATGTCTTTCAGAACCAGCGCATGGTAACTTTAGTATAATATTTGCTCACACTTCATGAAAACGTCTGGCTATCGCTGTAGCTGAAGAAAGGTCTTTTCCCGTAAGTTCGCTGTGAGATATAAAAAAAAAAATCATCCCAAACCATTTACCTCGGGTATAGAGCAGGAGGGTTGAGGTTAATGACAGCCCAGGCACATATTCTCACGAGGAATTAGAGTGATAGGCATTGTCTTCCTCCTCCTCCTCCCCCTCCTTCTCCTCCTCCTCGTCCTCGTCCTCCTCCTCCTCGTCCTCCTCCTCGTCCTCCTCTCCTCGTCCTCGCCCTCCTCCTTTTCTTCTTCCGTTTCTTCTTCCTCCTTCTCCTCCTCCTCCTCCTTCTCCTCCTCCTTCTCCTCCTCCTCCTCCTCCTCCTCCTCCTCCTCCTACTCCTCCTCCTCCTCCTCCCCAAAGCAATGTCCCCACTGAGCCAATCGCACAAGATCCAGGTCAGTCCCCCATTTCCGGGAACCCCATACCCCGGGATGATGTATTGTCAATGTATTTAAACCAACACAGAAATTAATGACGTGGTTGTGTTCGTTCATCGTGAGCAAAGTTTGATGATCCTTTTGACGTCTTCCCGAAACGTTTGGTTCATGAAGGCGTAGATGAACGGATTGGCGACGTTGTAGACGAAGTATCCGTAGAAGACAACCATGTTGAACGGAATGAGGCTGTTGGCCATTAGAAGAGCAGGAAGGAAGGCAATGATGAACACAAGCGTGACGATAAAGAGCATGAACGCCGTCTTGATGTTAGCGATCAGGTTTCTGTCACGTACTGTGCTAGGGCGCTTGCGTTTGATGCTGTTGGTTTGAGCGTCGATTTGTAGGTGTTTTCCCGCTGTGTGTTTCTTGAAGACTTTGGTCTTCGATTCCGCCGGCTGGGTGTTACAGACAGGGACATCGATGAAGGTAGGCTTGACGGGCAAAGTGGAGGGGGGTGGGGAGCTGCTGGAATTTCTTGCCGAGCTGTTTAGCTTTGTGTTGTTGGCGTTGTCTGTCATCGTGGAGGGGGCTTCGGGGCTGAGCAAGGGTCGCTCTTCCGGCGGTGTGTCCTCGTTGTTGAGATGACCGTTCACGTCATCGCCGTTTTCGTTTTCGTTTTCGTCGTCAATCTTTCTCTCTTTCCCCGAAGCAATACCATCGCATCCGTCATCGTCGTCGTCGTCGTCGTCGTCGTCCATGTTTTCCTTCACAGCGTGCTCCTCTACGGCGAAATTGTTGTTGCAGCTGCTCTCCTGAATACCTTTGACCTCATTCACGTCAGGCTCATCCTGCGAGTTCGAAGGCGTCATCACGTGACCTTCGTTGCCAAGGAAGCTGGTCATGGTATCCCGGCTGAGCTCACCCTCTCCGTGAGCGAACATATTTTTCTTCACCTTCTCGTCCCCTTTCCCCAACGGCTGGTCCCCGTAAACAGCTCGCCCTCCGCTGTCCTGCTTGTTGTCCGGAAGCAAAGTGCTCGTCTCGTCTTCGGGGAGACTACTCCCAGCATTCTCAGCGCCACCGCTACTCGTGACGTCATTCAGCGTCCCTGCCGACGAGGACGTGGTGGTGGTGGTGGTGGTGGCAGCAGCCGTGGTGGTGGTGGTGGCGGTGGTGGTGATTATGGTGGTAGTTGTGGTTTTGTTTTTGGTTTGTTTTATCTGTCTTTGTTAACCTGAGTTGGTGGCGGTGGTGGTGTTAGTGCTGCTGGTAGTGGTGGCGGTGGCAGCAGCCGTGGTGGTGGTGGTGGCGGTGGTGGGGGCTGATGACTTACTGCTCGCGCTAACCGCGTCGTTTCTCGCCGTCAGCTCGATCTTCCGCGAGGAGGAGCAGCTGTTGCTGTCCGGGTGGGTTTGGTTGTTCATGACTTTCGCGGTGCTGGTCTCGGCTCCGTTGATGACGGTCATTTGGGTCTCCTCTGCCCCGTTGGTCCCCCGAAGCTTGGTGTCGGAGCTCGGGTACAGGTTGTTTTTCTTCCTCCTGGCTTTGTTGGCACGGCGCGTAAAGATGGATTTGTAGATCAGGATGTAGAGAATGGCCACGGATAGGTAGGCCACCAGGAATCCGCAAGCGTGGATGATCTTGTAGACCTGGAGTGAGAAAATGTTAAAATATTATGTCATAGCCGTTATTAGAAGGGTGTTACATGTTTATCTGTAAAGACAATTAATGTGACAGATTATGCTGTTTTCTTTTGCCTTAACGTAATTCTTTTGTTTTCTCTCTCCCACTCTCTACTGTCTTTCTGCTCGTTTCTATCCGTTAAAATGTCTCTCTACTCTCCGGCTGCTCTCTCTTGTTAATGTTTCTGTCTTTGTTTGTCTGTGTCTATTTCTCTGTCTGTCTCTTTCTCTGTTTTTGTCTCTGACTCTTTCTCTCCCAATCCCCCAACCTGAGC